GGAGCTGGAAATAAAATGGAGGATATATAATATTAAGAAGTAAATAAACACTAGCTTAGATTGAATATCAAAGTTCAGTATGTATTGACTTTATAAATCGCTCTACAATCATGTAAAACCACGTGTAATTCTGTTTAAAAACAAGAATTAAAGTTTCATGAAGGCCGTGAATATAACCACTGGAGTTAACATTAAAATTCAGTCTAAAGCGGTTAACAAAAGAAAATGAAACTAAACAACTAATGTTAACAATGTAGACTTACGGTTACTTTGATTGTTTAATAAATAACAATGGTGAATAAAGTATATTTTTACAGTTACACTAATTGGTCAATAAATAATATTGACGAATAAAGTAGATTTGTACGGCTATATTGATTCGTCAATAAATAACAAGGGCGAATAAAGTAGATTTTGTACAGATACACTGATTGGTCAATAAAGAACAAGAATAAATATAATAAATATTTACAGCTACATTGATTGGTCAGTATTTATAAGAGCGAATGAAGTAGATATTTACAACTACAGTGATTGGTCAATAAATAAAAAGAGCGAATAAAGTACATTTTTAGATTTTTACAGGTATATTGATTGGTCAATAAATAACAAGGACGAATAAAGTAAATTTCTTCGGTGACATTGATTGGTTAGTATTATTAATGTTTTGTGCCATTGGGCCTTACTTTACAAGTTTTATAAAGAGTGAAACTTGAACCCTAAAGTTATATGTTGCTGTATCCTGAAGATTTAAAACTGACTATAGTTTACATTCTGGATAGAACTACAATAGTTAATGGTTTGCAATAATACTTGATGAATGTTTATTCTTTACAGTCAAAAATGTCGATTTAAAGTTATTATTTATTATGAATTACATATTATCTAGTTAACGTGTATCTGTAAACATGAGGTGAGATATCACGGTTTATTATAACCTGTAATATGTAAGTAACTGTCTAATTATTAAACCAATGGTAATTAAAAAAATGTGCAAAACAAACAATGCCTAAAAAAATGTCAAAACCTTTAAAGTCATGAGGGATTTATAGCTGTGTACTAGCATTAAAATTGTGTTGAACTAAAAGGTAAGAAATATTATAGTCTGTCTCTTAACTTAGACATCAACGTGGGTAAGAATCATTGTGTAACAACGTTTTAAATTATTAGAGGGCCTATTTCAGGTACTTAAACCAATGATGTCTCAACCAAACTACACTGTCACTGTCTGTAGCCAGTAATAGGAGAGTAGTTACCCCATCATAAAATGATATAAATAATGCACAACCCTACCACAGGTAAACCTAAATAATCGATAAAATATTAAATGTGAAATTAACAAATTAAAAGTATTATGTTCTACAACCACACGTAATCAAAATCAGCCTATCCTCCCCCTCCTTTGAATGGGAAGTGAAAGGGAAGACATCAAAGAATGTAAGTTATCATAGGAAGAAAATTACTTAAAACAATACAAGTTTAAGAAACGTTTACCAAGTATGGGCAGACTGAAGTAACATAAAAGCTGGTCTTTCCTGTCCATATTTCACTATCTTAGAAAGTAAATTAAATAGACACATTCAAACAAAGTTAAGATCGTACCTGTTCTTCTGGCTGTAGAACTGGAAAGGTCAACTGAAACTGGTACGCTAAACTGGTAGAAAGAGTCACGTGATAACATGTTTTAAACCGTCCTTGAATGGGGCCAATGTCAACTAAGGTAACTGGACAACAAGTTAAAGAACAGGAATATTTCTATTTATAGATGAACAACATATCTTTTACATTATAATTGAAAACATATTTATATATTGTAATGTTATATTTATTGAAAAATAAGTAAGCTGAAACCATTAAATTTGAGGTTTTCACTTAATAGCTTGACATAGAATACAAAATAGGTTTATTACAAACAAAGAGAAAATATTTTCCGCTGTGAAATAATTACACATATGGTTAGGGTATTAGGGATTACATAGACATGGGGTTTGAAGTTGTTTCTTTTACCATAAATGTTTAAGTTAAAATTGCCAATAATGAATGAAGTATCTAGGTCAAAAAATGACAAGAAGGATTTTAACCATTTGAGGCCCCCATGCAATACCGGAGGTCCCATTCCTGGGGTGATTCAAAGTTGAGACTCAATTTCATTGGGATTCGAGGCCCCCATACAATTGGATGAGTTTCATCCCCTCTAAATCTGACTCTAGTGGGTGATCCCTTTGGGGAAGGTCTCCTGGAAAATTTAAATTTGAAATGGCATATTCTTATGACCTATTTTCATATACAATCTGAAAAATTATCCATACAATTTACACTTTTTCTCTAAGCATTCAACTTAAGATTTATATCAAAGAAAATTCATATCTTGAATCTTCAACGTTACGCTCGAGGGCACGTGTATATGCCCATCTACACACCTGGTAGACTTAGAAACAATGGCGAATTAACAAGTACTGACGGGATGTATTTATCAGATTATCGGTGTTTTATGTCACTCATGCACGACGTTAAATGCATAGATTCGATGTTATAATAAGACTTATATCAGTTTTGTTGAATCAGCATTGTATAGTGGCACGTTTGGAAGCTTTCTAAAAGCTTAGATTTAATGAAATTTGTGCCAAATGTTGAGGATATCTCGCTGAATAATTATACTTGTCATTAGGCCTATTACATTTTCAAACACAACATTCTTAATCTAGTCCTTTAGGGATTTTAAGAATTATACATTCTTTTAATTTTGGAAAATCCCTAAGGGACTAGATTAAGAATGTTGTGTTAAAAATTAACCTTTTTAAAATCCATGAAATCATTTAGATTGATAGATTAATTTCCGGTCGCTGAGGACGGGTAGTTTGCTTGTGTGTGTGTATGTGTGTATATATATATATATATGCAATGCTATATTTAGAGGAGATGCAACACATGCAATTGTATGGGTTCTCGAGCACCAAGGGGGCCTCAAGCCAGTGCAGTGAAGAGGGTAGATGATGGTGAAACCACTAAGGAGCACGCGATAAGTCTCCAAACACATTGAAAAACTCGTATCGAATTTCCATATACATAATTGCAGTATTTCATTCCAAAATAAATTAAGATTATCAAATGCTGATATTCTTCTGATTGACATCTGCGAAATATTCAATCAAAATTTAAATTTGTTTTTGATTTCAAAGATTAATTTTAACCTTTTTGATCCCGACCATACGGGGTATTACCCGTAGAAAATATGCAACATCAATTTTTAAAAATTATTTGTCATTTTTACAATAAGTTTCTTCCAAAAATAAAATGAAAATGTTGAGATTTTATATTTTCTTTTGATTTAAGAGTTATTAACAATTGGTTTAGATAATATAAATAAATAAAATAACAAATATTTAAGCCTTATTGTCGATTTTTAGCCACCTGTTGGAATTTGTATACAGATATGTAGAAACAAGTAAAGTTTTCGCCCACGCAATTAAAACCTGGAGCCCCCCAGTGGAACAGCGGTATGTCTACGGACTTACAACGCTAGAAACCGGGTTTCGATACCCGTGGTGGGCAGAGCACAGATAGCCCATTGTGTAGCTTTGTGCTTAATTATAAACAAATAAACAAAATTAAAATCTGTCAACGAACTTTTATAGATTGTCATTGCGTATATTTAATACAATTATGGAACTATTTTCTACTTATAATAATTTTAAAATAGCGAATATTTATAATTGTTTTATCGAGAACTGTAAAAATCAACTGATGTAACGATTTTTCTGTTGCAAATTTCTTGTTCCTAAAGCTGTCTAAATCGTATTTATATCATCTGAAGCCTAGAATTATTTTCTTTCGCGAGATCTGTTTACCTTATAGACTAGAATTCTTCGCCTTTCCAGTGCGCAAGAAATAAAGACTCAGAAATTTTGGAGGTAAGATTTAGCGATAAAGTTGACATTTTGTTTTGGTTTCGCAATGGTATTCTGTTTATAAGCCACGGAAGGGTAATGAATTAACTCACTGAAGTTATTATTCTTCAAATTAATTATTGGCCTTAACATTTATTATTTATATATAATTTCAACATTTTTGTAATTTGAACCTAAGGCCAAAACAACAATGTATTCTAAGCGTCATACTTTGTACTCGTTATATAAACGTAACTTTACCGTCTTCGTTACATGTTTTAGCAAATGCTAAACAGTTTATTAAGTGTGCATTATAAATACGTTTGGTTTATAGAGCGAAACAAATAGTATCTATTAGATTTTGTTTGAATACCTTAGACAATTTTTACTGAATCATTTCTTTTAACAAAGTGGCCTAACTTACCGTTCTTAGGCCTACTATTTTTACACACGCATTGAGGTTATTGAAGGTGTTCCAAAGTCCTATTATTCATCCCATCAGTCACTAATACTGTAGGTAATTCATGTAGGGATGTGGTTAGAGGATTTACTCAACTGGATTGAGATCCAAGGATTGTGGTTGCCATGTTATAAGTCTCCAATCATGTTACTCAAACTTCGTGGACGGAATCATTTTTTCGTCTTAGACGTTGCTTTGAAACATAAGTAACTTTTTTAAATGAAGAGAGCTTAAGACATCTCGTAAAGAAAATGTTGGTAACAAAAAAAGCTCACAAATTTTATTCTATTGCGCCATTTTTTTGTCTAAACTTCAATTCAATACTTTGTCAATACATTAAACGGTGACTGTTCAGGTTGATGATAGAGATTAATTTATCGTACAATGAATGTTTATGTGATTTCAGGTGTAAACAACGGCCTTAGATAGACACCTAATTGTATATTGTTGTTCCGAGAGCAAGTTTGGGGATTTTCAAATTAACTTAGCATTCTTGTTTTTCTCTAAACATCTTTCTTTCTCTGGATGAAATTTTAATATAAATTTGAGAATAAAAGTGTGGTTGTAACTAACATATACACCAAGTAGTGTTAGTTCTCTTCCATAGTTTTGTCAAAAGAGGAAATAACATAACTACCACAGTTGATCTGGTGTTGTCACGTTTTATTTATCGTTTTATAAAAATTCAGTACAATTTTAATGAACAATTAATTCTTCATTTAAAATCAGAAAAGGAACAAATATTACACACAGGTCGTTTCGAAAAGTGAAGGATAAAATAATTTCCAAAAAGCGCACTGTTGGGCCCTAGGACCTTTTCCAACAGTGATGGCGTGAGTATCCAATGTAAGGTAATGACGCCCTCTGGTAGTGTATTTTGGCCAGTGTATTGTCTTGTTCAAATCTTCGAATACGATAGAGGGATTACTGAAGGTAATAAAATAAGCATTAACTACTTACATAAATTTTATTATATTATATTCTATAAAATCTATTTTGTCAAAGAATATTTCTATTATTTCAAACACGTGTTTGAAAACAGTGTTACGTTAAGTTTTGGTAGAAGCAATTAAAAAGGTACCATACATAGAATGTCCTTTTTCACTTGAATTGAGAGGCCCTCTTTTTATTTAGTTTTTTTTTTTATTTATGAATTGCTTGCTTGTTTTCATTAAGCGCAAAACTGCACAGGAATCGAACCCCGCATTTTATCGTCACAAGTCCTCAAGTTTATTGCTTAGACACTTGGGAACTTCATTAATCGAATTAATCACAAATCAATTCTAATTAATTACCTTATCTAAAGGAAGGTTTAACTAGTTCAAATTGTCCTTAAATATATGCTAAATAAACCGAGATCGGTCCTCACCCTGTTCTAGCAAAGTTTGTCCAGTGTTTCATTATTCTTCGGGCAAGTTCTTGCTCCCCGGTGCTGTAGTCAAGAAGAGGGTTTAAAGGTGCTCCAAACACAAAGGATATTTCGTCACCATGTGTAGCACCAATCCACCGAGGCCAAGAGCTAACAGAAGGTGTGTGAGTAAAGAAGTACATAAAGACGTCGTTTCCTCGCTCTGCGTATTTATAGGCGAATTCATTAGTATCGCACGTGATAAACTTGTCCCCCATCATGCCAATTAACATGTCCCTGTTGTTATAGGTGTTGTCCTCTTCTAACCAGTCTGTGTATTGGTGAATAATAGCCTTTCTTTGGAAATTATTTGCGTCAGGAATTACTTTTTCCACTAACTTATGAAATTGCTTTCGAGTGACACCAACTTGTTCTTCCTTTAATATTTCTGGAAAATAATAGACCAAAAAGTAAGATCCTTCATTCTGATTGTTTCCTACTAAAAGATTTTGTCTCTTAGTAGTGTTTTCGTTCAGTAGTGTTTCCGGGATGTCCAAGAGAAAAATTCCATCAATAACAGGAGTGAAAAGAAAATCCGAGAAATTGAATCCAATCCAATCAACTTTTACTAGATGAAGTGGATCTGCGTTTCGAAGACATTCCATTGTGGAATCTAAGTCCCTAGGATCGTGAGAACAATTTACAGCTTCTGCTAAAAGCAGCCCTTGATTGATGGCAGTTTCACGATCGTGAAAACTCCAAGAGTTCAATATTGAGCCACTCTCCATTATTGCATTGTTAAATAGACCTTTGCTTAAAGGCGATAAAAGATGTAAGCTCACGCTACTGGCTCCAGCACTTTCTCCGAAAATTGTCACTTTTCCCGAGTCACCGCCAAAATACACAATATTCTTATTTATCCATTCCAAAGCCATGAGTTGGTCGAAAAGTCCAACGTTACCAGGCGCGTCTGATCGGTTGAAATAAAGGAAACCCAAGCTTGCTACACGGTAATTCATGGAAACAACGATGACATTCTCTTCAGAGGATAATATTCCGCCATCATAAATATCCAGAGTAGATGAACCAGAGTAGAAACCTCCCCCATGAATCCAGACCATGACTGTTGCATTCTGTGGTTGGGGGTGTGGAACCCAGATGTTGAGGTACAAACAGTCCTCACTCTGAGAAGTCTTGGTAATCCAAATAGTAGCTCCAGAGAAGTTCGCAAAAGAAGACTGGATGGTCTGGAAACAAGAGTTTGGTTTGGTCGTAGCATTTAGAACCCCCTCCCAAGGTTCTTTGCGCTGAGGACGTTGAAACCTCAAATGACCAGTAGGTGACTCTGCATAAGGAATTCCCCAGAACACGTCTACAGTCTTTCCATTTGCAGTGTATGTGGTCAATCCACGAACCAGGCCGGACTCTGTGTTGATAACAGGAGACTCGCTTCCGTCTGTTTCGAGATTTACAGCTGTTATCAACTCCAGATGTAGTATAAAGTACAGAATTATTGATGTGGTGCCAATCATCTCGTGTCCTTACGTGGGAGCTAAACATAAAATGGAGGATATGTAATATTAAGATGTAAAGAAATACACTGGTTTAGATTGAATATCAAAGTTCAGTATGTATTGACTTTAGAAATTGCTTTAGAATCATGTAAAACCATCTGTAATTCTGTTTGAAAACACGGATTAAAGTTTCATGGAGGTCGTGGATATAAACACTGGAGTTAAAATTAAAATTCAGCCTAAAGCGGTTAAATAAAGAAAATGAAACTAAACAATTAAAGTTAACAAAGTAGACTTACGGTAGATTTGATTGGTTTATAAATAACAAGGACGAATAAACTAGATTTGTACGGTGGTATTGATTGGTTGTTATTACTAATGGACCTTATTTTAAAGATTTAATAAAAAGTGAAACTTTACTACTAAAGTTATGTTGCTGTATCTTGAAGATTTAATACTGAATGACCGTCTAATCCTACCACAGGTAAAAACCTAAATAATTTATACGAAATATGAAATATATAAAACAAAATCAGCTCCATTCTTCTTCCTTGAATGGGAAGTGAAAAGAAAGACATCAAAGAATGCAAGTTATGATGGAGAGAAAATTAAGTAAAGCAATATAAATTTGAGAAACGTTTACCAAGTATGAACAGAGTGAAGTCAACTAAAACTAAAAGTTGGTTTTTCCTCTCCCCATTTCCTTATATTAGAAATTAAATTAAATAGATACATTCAAGCAAAGTTAAGACCATACATGTTCTTCTGGCTGTAGAACTGGAAAGGTTAACTGAAACTGGTACACTAGACTGGTAGAAAGAGTCACGTGATAACATATATTATAAATCGTCCTTGAATGTGATCAATGCCAGTTAAGGTCAGTTGACGTCAACAAGTTCAACAGTGGCAATAGTGTCTTCATAGATATAAAAACATATCTTTTACATTAGAATTTGAGCCATATTTGTTTTTGTGTAATGTTATGTTTATTTAAAAATAATCTGTGTTTTAATTCTAATGGGTAAGCTGAAGCCACTTAATAGTTCGACAGAATGAAACAAAAAAAAACTCAGATTTATTACAAACAAGCGGAAATATTTTCAGCTGTGAAATATTGACTCCTTTACTTAAGTTATTAAATATTACACTTCTAACAGAAGGAAGATACGTAGGTCCAAAAAATGACAAGAAGTTGTCGTTTTATTAGTCATTTCAAGTTCCACAGATGAAAAAGAAAAAATGTAATCGTTAATGTATTGAAGATTAAAACGATACTTACCGTATTTGGTGATTAGAAGTTGAATACATGCGGAATTTGAACCAATCAGTTTGTAAACAGTCGTCCACCCCTCTCCAATTGGTTCAGCTGTAAAATATTCTTGTATTTACATGTGGATACGACAAAAAAGGACGTAGAAGACTGTAACATGATCGGTTAAAGGTTTTCTTAGTGAAAAGAGTTGCAAATTCAAAGGGAATAAGCGAAAAGTTCTTCGTGATATGTAAATTATTAAAACAGTTAGTGCCTTGTTATTGTTAGGAATCCAATAACCTTTGTTAGAAGAATTATCTGTATTGATTTTAATATTATTAGACGGACTTAGAAGGAGTTTTATACAGTTTCGGGATAGTATAAAGAAGAAGAAAAAAAAGATAGATGTTGCCAGGTGTGGTTGAAAGGAATTTTCCATTTTTATATAAATAGTTTAAAATAGAAATAATAACGATTTACTTATAGAAAAAGTGGTGAAAGGACATAAAACTTTTTACAGATTAATACAAAATTGCATCCAGTTTTATCTACTGTGTTTATTACCAGTTTTTTCCAACAGTCGTAACGGCTTAAGGACTTAAAAACTAAACAACAACAAAATGTTGTCTTGATTGCGTCAAGAAACAAATTGTTTTTATTGTACTTTTAGTTCACGCCTAGCAGGGGGGGCGGGGGTCTGTACTTCTAATTTCAGATCATGCTTGACAATAAGTTCGTTTCTCTACTTCTAATTTCAGATCATGCTTGACAATAAGTTCGTTTCTCTACTTCTAATTTCAGATCATGCCTAGCAATAAGTTCGTTTCTCTACTTCTAATTTCAGATCATGCTTGACAATAAGTTCGTTTCTCTACTTCTAATTTCAGATCATGCTTGACAATAAGTTCGTTTCTCTACTTCTAATTTCAGATCATGCCTAGCAATAAGTTCGTTTCTCTACTTCTAATTTCAGATCATGCCTAGCAATAAGTTCGTTTCTCTACTTCTAATTTCAGATCATGCTTGACAATAAGTTCGTTTCTCTACTTCTAATTTCAGATCATGCTTGACAATAAGTTCGTTTCTCTACTTCTAATTTCAGATCATGCCCAGCAATAAGTTCGTTTCTCTACTTCTAGGTTCGTCTGGACCTCTTTCTTCCACTGCATTTGTTAGTTTACAGCTGAATATTCTTTTAATTATAACATGAGGATCAGAGGTTATGCTATTTCATTTGCTGTGACCCCTTTCGAGGTCATGTCCATGAAAACATTCGATACAAGGAATACACGTTCTCGTTGTTCGTCATTGAGTAGAAGTCTCTTTCTCTCACACACATCACGAACAGTTTCAATGTCGTTTCACACATTTTTTCTTTAGTTTAATTACTGCGAGAGCGTTGTACATAAAATAACCGTTTTCAATGCTCTCAGAGTTCAATAAACTAATTATGCACTCTTAGCTCAGGGTAGCCTTAATTTTATATTTTATTTTTAATATAGAAATTAATTGGCGCGGACTAATTTCATCGGTCTAATTCACACTTTACCTTCTGCTACAATATCATAATATCTACTCAGTTGCTCAATTTTCACGAGAGGGGAGAAGAGAAACCGAAGTCAAACTCGGGTCATTCCTTCAGGCCACAGTAAGTATCATACCTAAATTACCGCCCAGACTTTAGCTTCGCCTCTATTGACCAATATTTTATTTCAATTGTAATCGAAGACATAACCTGCAATATTCACTTTGACAATCCTAACAACGTCTCAATAGTCGCCATCTAGCCCCCAAGTGGCACAGCGGTATGTCTGCGGACTTACAACGCTAGAAACCGGGTTTCGATATCCGTGGTGAGCAGAACACAGATAGCCCATTGTGTAGCTTTGTGCTTAACTTCAAACAAACAATAGTCGCCCAAACTTTCTACGAGCATGCGTGAACAGACACTCAAAACCCATAATCCTTGGAGATTTGAATACCCCTCACACGGATTATCATAGCAGCCGCATCGACCAGAGAGATAGAACATTACATATACTAATTGAACATAACAGCGTGTATGTTATCAACAATAATTCATCAACACCATGCAACTCATCCAACGACAGTTACGAAAATCCAGGCTATGAGATAATCCCCTCACAGTTACTAACCAAAGCCGAAAATTTCAAGGCACACCCGCAGGTTTCAAGCGATCACTTTTTGGTATTTTTCACACTCCAAACCAACAGTCAGACACCACCACAAGATATCCCACCAGTATAAAATTACAACAGATGGACTGACACAGTTTCATCAGTGAGAAACACTTGTATATATAAGACCCAACGATGTGCAAGCTTAATGAAAAAAATATTAATGCATACTATATATGTTTCTTCAGGTATGATACAAACCCACACAAAAAGATTTATATATAGAACAAAATGTCTCTAGGGACTACGGGTAACAGGGTGTAACAACGAGGTGTTTTATATTGTCACAGACTTAGTACCTAAAAGAAGATCAGAGGGAGGGGAGCTAAGTGAATAAATGTAGCCATATTTTGTTAATGTTACATTTATTTTCCCATTTTTAAAATATTTATTTTCTTAATTTTATTTGCGTTTTTATACAGGAAATTAAGAGTAATATATGTAGGAATGTAGGTTTTTAATCAGGAAGAAACAGAAGATATTTTATATTTATATAAAAAATGTTGTGCTGCTCTTCCTGTATATTTTAACTCCCCATTGTGGCTCGGCTGTAAGTTCGAGGGTTTATAGCTCTAAAATTCAGGATTAGATACTTGTGATGGGCACATCACTGATAGACCACTAACGTAGCTTCGCACTTTAAAAAAGCACTTCTCTAGCAATAAAGTTGAAATATTGTTTTTCTGTTTTTGCTTCACTGAAAAAACATGCACATACTACATAAAAAACAGAGTAAATCAGCCAATAAAAAATAACTAGACTCTAGAACACATACAGAAGAAACAGATTAGTTGACAGCAAGCTCTGCCCTCCAGTGATTCAGTACTAAGTCTGAAGGCTTTTAATGCTAAAATCCAGGTTTTGATATTCATGGTGGGCACAGCACAGATAGTCTATTGTGTAGCTTTGTGCTTAACAACAACAAAAAAAAGCCAGCAAACTCTATCCAGATAACACAGTATAACAATAATAAGGAGATTAAAAAACAAAACTTTTATTCATTACCAGTCCTTCTCATCATAAGTAACTCCTAGAAGAAAATGTCTGTGGCCATAGATCCCAAATGCATTGGGGATAACCCATCTATCATACAAGATCCAAACACATGTCAAACTAGTCAACAGCTGTGGAGAACTAGTTAAGGGTTAGGAGTTGAGAGCTTGAATCCACAATGTATCAGCTCTTACTGCCTTTTTCTGTCTGTAGGCAGTTGTAGAAAGGCAGTCATACTTCATATTTAAATGTAATAATATCCTTAAAGTAGAAATGAACTGCCCCAATTTCTACAGAATTTTTTAGTTCAAACAATAGGTTTTGTCAGCAACCACAATTGTTACTAAAATATTTACAGCTATGAAACTTGCAAGAACAACGACTAAAAGTAATGTATAAATAAACTGAGACACCTAAGGTAAATTTCGTTTTTATTGTACTCAGTGATTTGGTTGGAGTTTTGATATAGACATTATTACATCCATTATAAGGAACAAGTCACCACTGCTACTACGACATTCAGTTCGTTGTTTGAAGTAAATACAAGCCATTATTAACATTGTGCCAGGGTCAGAGAATTAATAAGGAGGAAGTCATACGGATCCTAGGCCATGAAGTATGACATCATGTATACACATACAGCTCCAGGCTCAGCCCCGCTGAAGAATTGAAGAAAAGAAGAACGCTATATAATGTATTGTTTTGATAATTAAAAACCGGTGTTATTAAACTGAGACGTCAATAACACGTACACAGAACTTTCAGTTGCATAAAGATTTCAGCTGCTTGATAGATTGAATATTAATTTAGATGATTATTTATTTATTTATTTATTTTTAGCGAAATTATTTTGTCAGGTAACTTGTTTGTGTAATGTAATGTCGTAGTATAAAAAACATTATGTGCTTCCATCTAGCGACGACAAAGGAAACTTATGAAATATGGAAGTAATACTGCTAAGTAGTGGTTTTCCTTTTTATTATTTTCATACAAAAATACGTGTAGTAGAAATTAGAATAACGTTATTGTTATATATTTATTAAACCAGTATATCCTCTTTGAGAAATAAATATTTTTAATTCCTACTTTCAAAAGATATAACACAAAAAACTTAATTATATGCCAAAGGGAAACAAAATTTCTTGCATTTTCTAAAACAACCATTCAGAGATTGTAAATAGTATAAAAATAATGACTTTTTCAGTTTTTCATAACTACCTACTTGTGTTGAAAATATGAAACTAATAAAACAAACAAAATCCACAATTACAATATTAATATATTAAATGAAAAAAGTGAGTGAGAAAACTAGAGCATTAGCTGTACTTTATCACGTCAAGTTTACTAGATTAAACTCACAAGTTTCATGTTTATACTTTTGCACAATCTAAATAATTAAACACAATGAAGACTGCTGTCCCTTGCATTTTATTCAAGCCTTAACGTGCAAGTTCCTTTCTCACAAGTTTGACCCCCCCCCCCCATACACTGTTGACAGGTACCCATTAAAACTGATAATTACTTTCTCAGGTAAGTAAAGTGTCATAGTGAAATCACAACTTTTAAGAATAATTAAAATGTTTTATCTACAACTTCTACTACAAATGATATTTAAATCACCTTTCAAAATTCAAAATCTATTCAAATCTAAAGGCCTATTACCTACCCTATGCATTCCAGGATAGTGTATAAATACACATGGTGGCTGTAATGCCACTTACATTGGCAAAATTGGTACGCCAATTACATCTGCAAACATATGGGAGTATCAAGCAGAACTGGTAAAAGACTATCAAATTCACCAGACTCCACAATTCACACACATAGTGAAAACAACAATTTCAAAGTCATCTCATCTGGATCATCCAATACTGAACTTTTAATTAAAGAAAGTTTATCTATTCTAAGTGAAATCCAAACTTTAAATAATAACACAGCTTCACTACAATTAAGTATGTTCTGAATAACTTGTATAATATTGTTGCAAAATCCTATTCTTTCTTGTTTGTCTTTTAATCTAATTCATCCATTTATTCTGTATTTTAATTACATTTTATAAAAAGTTTAAATCTTATAAATTTTTATAGCTAATATTTTACCCTGTTCAATATATATTACTGAAGATGGAATATGTATATTTCGAAATGTTCAAAAATTAAATGTTTGTTACTGTACACACACGTGTACAATGTTAACTATATTCATAGACAACATCCCGTCCTCACACGGCAAACACTTTATTAAGTTTTATGTAACACATCATACACACAGTGTGGGGGAGGGCACACAAACTTCTTATATATCTCTGAAAGTGCACTAACACTCTCTATGGAGGAATGAAATGAAAAGAAATTGGCTGCCATTATTGCAATAACACAAACTCAGCTGACGTTTCTACCCCAAAAGCCACAATAAGGCTGATGTCAAGATCCATTTTAGTGAGTTACACCAACTTCCTACTTTGAACCATGGCCTTTCAATTTTGGTCCATAAGACATTTCTGCAACTAATTAATCACGTGAAACACTGTGGAAGGACATTAAGAGCTAGGGGTTTAAAGCAGGTAACAGAAAGCACCCCTACCATCATTACTTTGGCTGTTACCTTTTCCTACAAAGTCACCCTGACCACAGCACAGTGTATGCCATGTTTTAAGTACATACATATAGAGTTCTCAAAGCTGATACTAAACGTTTGGTGAGGTAATAATGAATACTGTAATAATAAGTTATGTTATAAATAAATTGAGTAAAGTTGGGATTTTTGTGTTATTTATCACAGCATCCAACCCCACATTTTTAAAGTTTATAACCCGAACAAAGGACTGGTACCTCAGATTGTTAAGTAATAAAACCTTACTTGCACAGCAAATATCTGCAGGGGCTGGTCCAATAATTAGTCAATTAAATTCTCTGAGAGTTTTGGGTTTAATCTAATGTAACTTCAGGTTAGTAACAAACACAAGTGAAAAAGAGGTGTTGGGAAACTAGTTGATACTAATTTAGAAGAAATGAGAACAAAAAATGTTACATTTAGAAACGAATATGTCCTTTCAAACATTTATTATATTTCCACAGCCTGCACTGTAGTTAGTTAGGTCCATTAACTTGATTTGTATTTATCAATATTTGAAACATGATATAAACTTACACACAATATTAGTAATGGAATAGAATTTACTCCAAACAATGAACAGGATGTCATAGTAGCTTGGCTCGTATGGGTGCTTCAACAAACTTAGGTTTTATATCAACTAATGATTGGTAGGGATTCGTATTACTAATCCCCTTGACTCGTCTAGGGCCCGGAGTGGCCAGGTGGTTAAGGCACTCGACTCCCAATATGAGGGTCGCGGGTTCGAATCCCTCTCCCACCAAACATGCTCGCCCTTTCAGCCGTGGCGGCGTTATAATGTGACGGTCAATCCCACTATTCGTTGGTAAAAGAGTAGCCCAAGAGTTGGCGTTGGGTGGTGATGACTAGCTGCCTTCCCTCTAGTCTTACACTGCTAAATTAGGGACGGCTAGCGCTAGATGCTAACACTGACTCGTATGGGTGCTTCAACAAACTTAGAGTTAGTGTCTTTTAGTGGTAGGTTTTCAGGATTACAAGCAGTTGAAGTTGGTACATTCATTTTTCTTTCGAAACAAGAACATTCGATACAATATTCTACTTGAACACAGTACTTCTAAAATCCTACTGACAGATACTTGACAAACAATGTGCAATGACAGTCACAAAATATTTTATTTCACAAACATTACATAATATTTTAAATTTGATGAAGCCACATCAACAGCAGTACATGTTAGTAAAGCGTTATGCTTAAAACAATATTTCTTTCGCACACCCCTTAATTTGCTACTTCAGCCAGCCACTGTGACGTTGTTATGGTCGCGCCCTCTAGGTTCGAAAGTTTAGTTATCTGGAAGATTATCACATATATATTAGGAGTCACGAGTCACTTTAATCCTAGACATAAATGTGTACAGAAACATATTTTATAAACTTAAATTTAATTAAATTCAGTACGACAAAGGGTCAGTTTCTCATGAAGATATTCATAAATACAAATATTACAAACACAGTTGTTTCCTCTATTAAAAATATTTCTCTTTAATTCGTCCGGATTTCAACGTCCGTGAGTTTCTTTTTTTCCTTTCTTTTTACACAACATCTTTTATTTCATGTGTTGCCATTGCGAACCTTATGTCACTGAATCATCGAAAATTATTTCTGTTCTTCTTGAAATCGTAACTGTTAGGTAATTTCTCCTTTTCGCTGACGACAGAGCTCTTCTGATCCTCCGTACATTTATTCTGACCATTTTCAAAGTATTTTGTGGTTGTTAAAACACTCACCGGGGATTCCTGCGAACTGAAAGACAGAAGAAAAAAAACAAAGAAATAATTCATTTACATAATTTTATTTTCGTTTTTATACAGGAAATTAAGAGTAATATATGCAGAAAATTCATTGATTCCGTGTTAAAATGCCGTATTTCAATAGTTAGTTCGAATGCCTTGCATATATTTATATTATTTTTGAACATAACTATTCAATGAGATGATTTTACGTTGTAGAAAAGATAAGAGGACGAGAAAGCGTTGCGCTGCACTTCCTGTATATTCTAACGTCACCTGGTGGCTCAGCTCGATTGTTTATAACACTGAAATTCAGGATTCGATCCCTGCAGTGGACGCATCACAGATAGGCTAATTAGATAGCTTCGCACTTGAACAAAAGTTTATAATGCTAAAATTTCGGATTTGATCCTTGTTATTGAGCGCTACAGTTGAAAGATTTTGTTGTTGTTTCACTGAAAAAAATACGCACGTATTACATAAATACCGGAATAACAGGGGTTTAGAACATGTAAAAAAAAACGTATTTTCTAAAAGTAACTTCTGCCGTCTAGTGGTTCAGCGGTGAATCTGAAGGCTTATAACGCTAACCTCATGGTTTCGATACCCATGGTGGGCACGACACAAAGTAACTTTCTGATTAATAACGAACAAAAAACATCAAGCTCTATCCAGATAACACAGTAAACATAAAGAAGATCTATCCAGATAACACAGTAAACATAAAGAAGCTCTATACAGATAACACAGTAAACATAAAGAAGCTCTATACAGATAACACAGTAAACATAAAGAAGCTCTATCCAGCTAACACAGTAAACACAAGGAAGCTCTATCCAGCTAACATAGTAAACATAAAGAAGCTCTATCCAGCTAACACATTAAACATAAAGAAGCTATATCCAGATAACACAGTAAACATAAAGAAGCTCTATACAGATAACACAGTAAACATAAAGAAGCTCTATCCAGATAACACAGTAAACATAAAGAAGCTCTATCCAGCTAACACAGTAAACATAAAGAAGCTCTATCCAGCTAACACATTAAACATAAAGAAGCTATATCCAGATAACACAGTAAACATAAAGAAGCTCTATACAGATAACACAGTAAACATAAAGAAGCTCTATACAGATAACACAGTAAACATAAAGAAGATCTATCCAGCTAACACAGTAAACATAAAGAAGCTCTATCCAGATAACACAGTAAACACAAGGAAGCTCTATCCAGATAACACAGTAAACATAAAGAAGCTCTATACAGATAACACAGTAAACATAAAGAAGCTCTATACAGATAACACAGTAAACATAAAGAAGCTCTATCCAGCTAACACAGTAAACATAAAGAAGCTATATCCAGATAACACAGTAAACATAAAGAAGCTCTATCCAGATAACACAGTAAACATAAAGAAGCTCTATCCAGATAACACAGTAAACATAAAAAATAATGGGATAGGTCTTTTTTTTTAAAATAAAGCCACAATGTAGTCTCTGTTGTGCCCACCGTGGAGAATCGGACCCCGGATTTTAGCTATACAAGTTGAAAGAGTATTTCCAGAGCAAAGACAAAAAACAAAAAAAATAAACGGAAATTTTGTTTATTGTGAAAGTAAAGAATAATTATGTAACACTAGTTTTGGGGTTGAGTACCGACGAAGCTTTTTCTTCTCACTTATTGATGTTGCTCTAAGTAGCATAATTAAATGACTTTATCAAATGCAAACAATAATGGCTGGAGACGGCTTGAATGGGTAATGAAGAAAAACATCAGATGATGACAAAACCTTGTCGAAACGTTGTACATTTGCTGTTATGTTAAACTTATATCAAAGTTTTTCTTCATTACCCATTTAAGCCGTCTCCAGCCATTATTAGTCTCAAAGTGGGTTCCTCGTCATCGAAAAATCAAATGCAAACGTTCTATGATGTCTTTGGCTTTCTCTGTTCTATCACCGAAATAGAAATGGCTTCAGATCATAACACACAACCAGCTAGTTGTTTGAAAATTGCAAACAAAATGGCGGACCTTGACTAACGATTTACATTTAGAAATATCACATGTATCTTCACTACTTCAGATACTAGACTACCAAGTCTATCTTTGAAGATTTGAAGCTGGTAAAAACTATTTAAGGTCTACCATATCCCAGGAACGTTTGGCTGGTCTTGTATTTAAGGTCTACCATATCCCAGGAACGTTTGGATGGTCTTGTATTTAAGGTTACTATATCCCAGGAACGTTTGGATGGTCTTGTATTTAAGGTCTACCATATCCCAGGAACGTTTGGATGGTCTTGTATTTAAGGTCTACCATATCCCAGGAAAGTTTGGATGGTCTTGTATTTAAGGTCTACCATATCCCAGGAAGGTTTAGATGGTCTTGTATTTAAGGTCTACCATATCCCAGGAATGTTTGGATGGTCTTATATTTAAGGTCTACCATATCCCAGGAATGTTTGGATGCTCTTGTATTTAAGGTTACTATATCCCAGGAACGTTTGGATGGTCTTGTATTTAAGGTCAACCACATCCCAGCAATGTTTGGATGGTCTTGTATTTAAGGTCAACCATATCCCAGGAACGTTTGGACGGTCTTGCTCAGATTTCCATGGAGCATGTAGTTGCAAGTGAAAGAGAGGTGCCGTATGATGATCTTATCAATAATTTTGTAGCCACTAAAGATGGCAAAGCTGATGTAAAGTTTCATTCACGCTCAGATAACATCTTATTTAGTAGGAAGAAAGGTATAGTGATCCAAATGTTAATGTGTTCAAATATCGGACTGGAACTTCTAGTTTGGTGGCTGCTGATCTAACAACACATGAAGGAGCAATTATTGGTGGAGTTCTTCCAAATTGAATATTTTTTCAATTTTTATCGGCCGTTTAATCACCCTAGGAAATGGGCCTCCAGTATACTGGTATTACATGGGGGTCTCAAAAAAAGTATAATAGGAAATGGGCCTCCAGTATACTGGTATTACATGGGGGTCTCAAAAAAAGTCTAAATTATTCCCTGTATGCATGCTTGACTGGGTGTTAATAGCCTGTCTTCAAAATGTGCTTTCTGTTAGACATCTTTTACTCATCCCATATCTTTACCGGCAATTGTGTAAACAACCATGCACGCGTTTCTGTGTCTTGTTCTTTCTATATGGTATTTTCATAAAATTATAAATGTAGATAAACTTAATTTAAAACTTAACCCAAACCAATTCTAATAGGCCCAAAAAGTTACCGAAGTTTAGGCACACAAATCCTAACTACAGGAGTTGTTCACAATTTTGTCACTAGATGGCAATGTTATCATGTTTCTATACGTGTTTTTTTTTTTTAATAATTGGTTTCAGTTTTGTATTTACACGTAATGAATATAACTTTGTTGTGAACAGAAAACCTATTTAAGTTTTGGAATACGTTGTTTGTTACCTGTCGGTATTCTTTTGTGGGTTTGAAAGGGGAGGATTCATCACTGTAGGCGTCGTGCTCTTTTGTACAAGCTGACGCTTCCATTCTGGGATTATATTTCTTCTTCTTTCCTCAGCAGACCTCTGTATAGAAATAAAAACATTGCACCACATTTTTTAGAGATGCTGTATTACGAAACATTTATGCAACAGGTGAATTATAGTTAATTAATTTTTAGATTATCATTCAATTAGTTGATATGGAAACAGGCTTTCTAACTGGGGATTGTAATTGCCCAGAAATAACCCTAAATCTTAAGCGTTTTCGAAAAGTTGTCTTTTCTTGACGACCGAGTTTTTCGATCTTTTACGTGAAATGAACTAATATTTAAATCAGCTAACATTATTAATTAATGCATATCTGGCTATGTCTTCGTTTGTTTGTTTTGAATTTCGCGCAAAGCTACACGAGGGCTATCTGCGCTAGCCATCCCTAATATAGCAGTGTAAGACTAGAGGAAAGG